ACCTACATCTGGCATTTCTCCCCTTGCTATCTCTCCCCAGCTCCCCACCCCCCACCGTCCCTCCCCTATTTCCCCCCAACTGACCGAAGGAAGATATTTCTTTCCCATTGGACTTGAACCTGGGAGAAGGAGAGGCTAGAAATGCAATGGTCACTGTGTCACTATATGGTGCCTGAGAAACAGCCACACACAGGGAGAGAGGCCAGATCCTGATGACATTGTCTGGCTCCTGAAGCCACCCGGGCCCAGAGCCAGACCTATTCCAGACCTTTCAGTCACATAAAGCAATAACTGTCTTTTCTGTCAATCGCTGGATTTTCTGTTACTTCCAACAAGTTCTAAGTAAAAGACTCCTTGCCAGAGGAAGCAGGGAGGATGATTAGGGGAGCGGGAGGGGCAGAGGTAGGGACTGTGGAGGGGTGGGGAATGTTGGTTTCAAGTTTCCAGTTTAACTTACTGTGCCGTAGGCTCCCTTTCCAAGAATCTCACCCTTGGTCCATAGGATAGGTTCTTCAGACTTGAAATTGTTTTCAGAAAATGTCTTTTCATTTGAGTTGAGAAATTTCTCCTCCGTGTCTTGTATCCTTAACCCATTACTATGCCTCTGGAATAATAAGACAGAAGGAAGAGTGACCATTAAACCAAGTCATTGGGATGGAGAGAAAGGGGTGAGAGTAGAGTCTTCTCAAATGTTCCTGGCTGTGGCCACTCTAATAGGTAACTTCTAGAGACACACGGCTCCCCCAAATGGCCACATAATGTATTTTAGCTGTGTACTTCAGCCCTGTTAATTACACACATTTTAATATCACATCTTGCTCTGCGTATTTTATAGGAAGAGGTCTTAGGCCTGTTCATCTCTAGGCCCACATGGGCCTGCAGCTACTGACCACTGTCTTTTGAGAATGACCTTTCACAAGCTCCCTATCATGACGGAATGTGTTAGTGTATGTCATCTCCTCAGCCTGCTAACCTCAACTCACTCCTTAAAATTCCCATTAAAGTAGTGAACAATCTGAAAGCAAATGCTCAGGTGTAGGGACTCTGAGAAATGCACATTTCATGTCTTCACATGAACAAAATGGTGAGCTACTTTGGGAGCCATGTTCATTTCTTTCTATTTCACATACCTAGAGCAATGTCTTGCCTATAATTATCTTTCTGCTGATAGTTGGAAATGAAATGCTGTTGATTGAAAATGTCATTATTGAATAAAATACTGACTTATTTGAATAGTTTCGCTACGTTGATTTAACCAAAGTGATTTAATTACAACCCCAAGCTAGCTAAATTCCAAAAGTGGGTCAGCATAATGAAAACATCTTAGCCTGAAAGTCAGAGGACCTGAATTCCAACCTTGTGATTAAACAATGAGACCTTGAAGAAACTATTTAATTGTTTGGGTTTATAATTCCTCATTTAAAAATAAGGGGTTTGGGTCAGGCGCGGTGGCTTATGCCTGTAATCCCAACACTTTGGGAGGCCAAGGTGGGTAGATCACAAGGTCAGAAGTTCAAGACCAGACTGGCCAACATAATTAAACCCTGTCTGTACTGAAAAATACAAAAATTAGCTGGACATAGCGGCTCATGCCTGTAATTCCAACTACTTGGGAAGCTGAGGTAGGAGAATTGTTTGAACTGGGACCTGCGAGGTGGAAGTTGCAGTGAGCCGAGATCGTGCCACTGCACTCCAGCATGGGCTACACAGCGAGACTCCATCTCAAAAAATAAATAAATAAATAAATAAATAATTTTAAAAAATGAAAAAAGAAAAGAATGGTTTTGAACCAGATTGTCTCTGAGGTCCTTCCCACCCCACTGAATCTCGGATTCTAATTATACCAACCTGTATTTTGACATTTGTTGTCTCTCTGCCCAATTCTTTTGGGGTACTTCCTCTCCTACTGAGGACAAGATTTAGGTTTTCAGGATCTGTTTCACTTGCCATTTTTTGGCAAGAGTTATTATCTTTCTCATCAAGAGCTAATAATTCTGCAGCTAGACAACCTAATAGTTCATCTGTTAATTCTTCATTATTTACAGAGTCCAGAATTTCTTGGGAAATTGAATTTGTGCCATTTAAAGTTTTTCCAAACATTTGATATGTGATTGGCTTATTTTCTAAACTAACATGATCCAAATAATGTCCCAAATATTGATATGTTTGGGAAGATGCACTTTCTTGTTTTTCTTGAAAAGAGAAATTCGTAAGTGTTTTACACTGATCTGAAACGCTGTCAAACTCTAGATCATTAGTTAACATGCGGCTGGCATTTACTTTACTAACAGATGCTGTATCCTGCTTTTCTTGCTGTACATACTTGTTAGATCTCTTCTCACTGGGCACTGCCCAGCTGTTTTCCGAAGGGATAAATGGGATCTGGTAATGCAGCTCTTCAAGTTCTCGCAGATCTCTGAGGCCTGTAGCGAGTATTTGATTGTCAGAAATGTCTCTATTATTAGTAGATTCTTCTGTAGAAACTTCTTCAACAATGAATAAATCTGAGACAGGAGGGAATTCATTCTGTTTCATGAACTGCTCAGGTGTCTGAGCCAAGTTCATGGAATGAATTTCATCTCTGGAAGATAGAAACTCATTTCCTGAAGATTTTATCTGCCAGTATGGTTCTGAAATACCATCACCATTTTCAACATCATGTAGGTTGCTACATACAGCTTTGCAACTCTTTTCTTTAGAAATTAAGACTTTGTGCTCCTGTTTAATGCCAAATAAAGTCTTCTGCGTTTTCATATGCAGTTTTTTCTGAGAAAGTCTTGTTCTGATATTGCTGCTCCTCTCACTGTGTGAAGATCGACATTTATTGGTGATACATCTGGCTGATGGAGCTGAACATATTTCACGGTAATACTTGTTTTCATGCCTTTCAGCCTCTCGCACATGACAATAAATAGGGGTCCCAAACATTTCATAGATTCCAGGTCCATTAGCAGTTGAATTGATCTCTTTGAACATATCACTATATTTAAGATCTAGGTAATTTAGTCTTGGCTCTGTCGGTTGAACACATGACTTTTGGATTCCTGGATTTTTACAGATACAAGGAAATGATTGCTTTTTAGGTTTCTGAGTCTGGTGAGTTGATTGCTTCTTTGCTACCTGTGGTGTTCTCTTTTGAAACCTGGGCAATTGCCAAGGCCTGTGGTCAACAAATCCCAAAGCAGGGGAAATTTGTGTTTTTATGCTTGTTTTATGCATGGTAGGCTTAGTGGTACTTTCAGTAGAAATCATGAAATTCTGAGATGTCTTCTTACTTTTCTTGGGCTTTGAATCTAACTTACTCCTATGGGAATTCATCTTACACTTGTCATTTTCTTGGTGTGCAAGTATGTTGACACTATGGTTGTTATGAATGGTTCCCTTTCTCTTTTGGAGGCTTGGTTTGGCTATAGCTGATTCCTCGGAGCTTCCATCCACAGGGAAGGTGATGTGGATAAGAGGCACCATCCCATTCATTTCTGGTTTGGCTCCTTCTGCTGTTGATATTCTTATGTTTGTCTCCATGCTGCTATGACCTTCTGGGAGTTTATCAATGGGGTCATCAAACACTTCACTGGACAAGCTTTTAAGTACAGTAAACTCTTCTAAAATATTGTTTGGTTCAATTGCTTCCTCTTTATGTAATGAAGCTCTTTGTGAAGCAGCTTTATTATTTCTCATCGCTTCATCCTGGCTTGGAGCTATTTCTGAATTCTGGGCTTCTTGGAACTTGCTTGGAATGGTACATACTATTTCTGGATCTTGTTCATAGTTTTTGGCTACTGAACTCTCATTCTTTCTTGATGAAAGATATTGAGAGTCGTATTCTTCAGCTTTTCTCATTTTACGACCATGGAAGTTGATATCCTCTTCCCTATCTTCAGGAATGTTGCCTTCCTTCAAATTCTCAAAAGACACCAAAGACTGCCCTTTTTCAAAGTGGGTGATTTCGATTTTATTACATTCTCCTATTTCCTTGGATTTCCGGTTCTCCTCCATCTCCAGGCATTGTCTGTGATGGTTAGCCTTCGGAAAAGAGCACATATTTCTTGACCAAATGAAACCACCTGAAGACCTGAGAGTCGGATCCATTAACAGCTTAACTAGGGCTCCTGGAGGCTTGTTTGATGGGCTAAGGTCATCAGATTGACAAACAGACTCTGAGAGTTTAGGCACAAAAGATGTGAGGCTTGGAATGTTTCTTTCTTTCTCTTTTGGAAACCTGTGGTTTTGGGGGATAGTAAGGACACCAGATCGCGTAGGCAAGAGTGACAGTGGTGGCAGAGGGAGCTAAAAGGAAAGAGAGAAAAAGCTATGAATGCAGAAACAGATATAAATATCATGTTAACTGGTTTAAAGTAGTCTAGAGAGATTATAATATCCCCTTAAGGAAGGCTTTTAACATACAAAGCTATCCTGGGGATCACAATTCTTTTTTTTTTTTTTTCCTTTTTGAGACAAGGTCTTGCTCTGTCTTCCAGGCTGGAGTGCATTGGTGTAATCACAGCTCACTGCAGCCTTGACCTCCTGGGCTCAAGCGATCCTCCCACCTCAGCTTCCCGAGTAGCTGGAACTACAGGTGTGTGCCACTATACCTGACTAATTTTTTAATTTTAATAGAGATGAGATCTCTCTATGTTGCCCAGGCTGGTCTCAAACTCCTGGCCTCAAGCAATCCTCCCACTCTGCCTCCCAAAATGCTGGAATTACAGGCATGAGCCACTATGACTGGACAGATCACAGTTTTTGAAACTAAAACCTCATTCCCAATATTTTTTTAGAAACAGTTTAAAACAACACGTTTTAAAACCAGGATTATTATAGATGTAAAGATTCATGATTATATATGTATACATATATATATATATATATAATTTTTTTTTTGGCCGGATCCATGGTTATATATTTTTAAATGAAGGCCCTATAATGTCAATGTTAAAAATTTAAGATAAGAAACATTTTATTTCTCTTCTTTTTACTTTTCATAGAATTGATTTAAAATCTTTGAAATCCCACTGAGAACAGTTTAAAATTGCTGTTAAAATACCTCAACAATGGTCAGTTATTGACTAACTCAGAATTAGTATCTGAAACACAACTATTCACCATTATTTTGCTAAATTATTTTTGAATGAAATTCACAAAATTTCATTTTTGTGGAAGAAAGGAAAATGGATAGCTTTCCTTTTTTTCTCCTTTGCCCTTTATTTTCAAACTAAGCTAGTTTTTATTATCCTCTAGAGGTCAGCGTAACCCAATGTATAATATTAAGCTTTGTGGGCAATAAGCTACAAACTCCTTAACGCTATGCCTCGTTTCACTGTGGTCTTTTCCTGTGTATACAGATTCAATACCTCTTTATATAACAATATTTACAAGCATGGGTCATGGGTAGTAATTGAGAAATATGTGTTTAATTTTCATTCTATTGCCACCTATGTATAAGAAGGAAGAAAATGGAACCTGACTCTAGAAACTTAGGCATTAAAAGTAGATGAGATGCAGTGTAGGCCCCAATTATACTGTCTAGATGATTTTTCTCATTTATCGAAAATGACTTAGGAAATAAAGGCACATTCGCCCAGAGCTTAACCATCTGCCTAGTAATGGGCATTACATTTTTTTATGTCAATAAACTCCTTTTTACAATGCTAAGCACTACCTATGCGTAAGTATTTCTCAAAGGCTTATAGGGTAAAGAAGGGTCAGATAGTTGAAAAACTAAGAACTGCAAGTATCTTTCCAAAAACTGAAAAATTAGACAACTAGGAAAATCTTTCCACCACTGGGGGAAAAAAGAATTGCCTAATTTCTAGACAGGTTAAAAGAAGATAAATTAAAATACGTCTGGCCAGGCGTGGTGGCTCATGCCTATAATCCCAGCACTTTGGGAGGCCAAGGCAGGCAGATCACTTCAGGTCAGGAGATCGAGACCAGCCTGACCAACATGGTGAAAAACCCCATCTCTACTAAAATTACAAAAATTAGCTGGGTGTGGTGACAGATGCCTGTAATCCCAGCTACTCAGGAGGCTAAGGCAGAAGAAATATTTGAACCCAGGAGGTAGAGGTTGCACTGGGCCGAGATTGCGCCAGCCTGAGGGACAGAGTGAGATTCATCTCAAGAAAACAGAATGTCTAAGGGAGCTACTCAGCTCATTACACAGAGAAAGGAAACGCTCCACAAAAAGACTGCACATAGCAAGGCATAATTTTCCCAGGAATGGTCTGCTACTCTAGGAACTATATGTGAGTCGTTGTTTTTCCAGGAAATACAGTTGACCCTTGAACAACACAGGTTTGAACTGTGCAGGTCTACTTATAGTGGATTTTCTTCCTTCTCTGCTACCTCCGTGACAGCAAGACCAAGCCCTCCTCTTCCGCCTCCTCCTTAGCCTATTCAACATGAAGGCAATGAGGATGAAGACCTTTATGGTGATCTACTTTCCTAATGAAGAGTAAACATATTTTCTCTTCCTTATGATTTTCTTAGTAACATTTTATTTTCTTTAGCTTTATTGTAAGAATACAGCGTAGAATACATGTAACACACAAAATGTGTGTTAATCAACTGTTTATCAGTAAGGCTCTAGTCAACAGTAGGCTATTACAGCCAAGTGCAGTGGCTCACACCTGTGTAACCCTAGCACTACGGGAGGCTGCGGGGGAGGGTATTGCTTGAGGCCAGGAGTTCAAGACCAACGTGGCCAACACAGTGAGACCCTGTCTCTAAAAAAACAAAACCAAACAAAAAAAAAAAACCAGTAGGCTATTAGTAGTTAAGGTCTGGGGAAATCAAAGGATATACATGGATTTTTTACTGTGTTGGGGAAATCAGTGACCCTACCCTCTACATTGTTGAAGGGTCAACTGTCATTGCTGAGGATTTGGTTCTAAATTAGTTAAAAGAGTTTTTTGGTTTTAGTTCTCAAGTCAAAAATGCTAGCACTAATCTTACCTCAATGCTTCGGCCACTGTACTTCATATCAGAGGTCGAAAACTCTACAACAAGAAAAAAAAAAACCTAGATATTCTTAGCAGTAAAGAAAAAACAGTCTCAAGCTAGAGTCTGGGGAATGGAGTAAGTAATACCGATGCTAAGGGGTCTGAGGAAAAGTTGTAGAAATTAGAGGTTTCCCTTGTGGGATTCACACAGAGGTGAAATGACGACACAAAATGTCAGGCTACTGCTACTCACAGGGCTGTGCTTTTACATTTATGTCGCTATTCTGACAACACCTGAGATCTCTGGACCAGAGAGCAGATTATTTATCGCTCGCGGAGCATTGTAACACCAGTTCCCCACATCCGGGTTCCTCACAGGGCAGCGTGATGAGAGCCGGGTGTTTGCCTGCACAGGTGGGCGGAGCCGGGTGTTTGCCTGCACAGGTGGGCGGAGCCGGGTGTTTGCCTGCACTGGTGGTTGAGCTGCGTCCCAGGAGGGAGCCCCGGACTGGTGAGGCTCAGGGCGTGTATTGGGTAAGTGGCACTTTAGCCCGTCTTTCCCTCCAGAGAAAGAGACAACTTTACTATGAATTGTAAGCAAATGCTTCCAGGAGAAAGGTGCCTTTATGTTTTATTACCCTGGAATGTAAGCAAACAGCTTTTGGGGAAATCAGGCTCCAAATCTCTCTGGAGCAATACACTAACTTTTGAGGCGTTTTTGCCGTTCAAGCATCTTTTAACCTAGTTTCCTAGTGTTTTTTGCTTAGAAAGCCTGGACTGTGCAGAAATGTGAAAATATTCTTCTGTAAGTGTCTCCCGACAGTTGTTTAAACTAGATCCACCATAAACTCTGAAAGGGAGTGTGGGGAAGTCTCACCGAGGTAATGAGCTGGGACTTACTAAGTAGTGTAAAACCTAGAATTTGTTTTCTTCTTACCAAAAAGTCAGAATGGTCCCCAAAACCCCACGCACCACCACTTCTGCATAGTTTGGACTTTCTAAAGCTGAAGCCAAAAGCTCCCGTGTCTCCAGGGTCAGAACAGGTCAGAGAACTAAATGCAGTGGGATAGCAACGCACAGCCGTAGATTGAGATCACATGCCCCAACTAAAGGGGCATTACTACCCAGCTCTCGGTGATGTTATCCAATCTAGATGGATAATCCAGCACTGCTAGATCCTCCAAGAGAAGCCAGAGAGCTGTAGATTTTATGTGAAATCTCCTTCCCCCACCCTTGCTTATTTATTTATTTAAAATTTTTATGTTTCTCATCTTCCATATAGACAGGGTCTTACTATATTGCCTAGGCTGGTCTCAAGCTCCTTGGCTCAAACAATTCTCTTGCTTTGGCTTCCCAAAGTGCTGGGATTCCAGGTGTGAGCCACTAGGCCTGGCCTCCCCTGCCTTGTTTTTCAGTGTTGTGAGGGTCAAACAAATGTCTGTAGGTCCGTTTCACCCACAGGCTGTCATTCTGAAGTTTCACACACAGAGAACAAGACTTCTCTAAGATTTAACACAGTAGAAAAGCCGATCCCAGGTGAAAAACAAGTCACCTAAGAGGAGGACCTCAACAGGAGTGGTCACAGGCATTCCCCTTGACTACAGCTGGCAGTGACATGCCCCCCTTCATTCCCAATGCATTTACTCAATAATTATTTACTGAGTGCCTACTGAGTGGCCCATACTGTCGCAGAAGACGGCAATTTATAGTTGTGAGTGGCAAAGAGAAATCTTTGCTCTTTGCTCCCAGAGGTTGCATTCTAGAGGTTGAGGTTTTCTGTTGAAAAGATGATAGAAGTTAATCCAGAAATACAGTTGAATATAATTTATAGTTGGGTACATATGGATAACATCCTGAATTTTTTAAAAAATCCCTTTCAAATATTCTTGTAAAGATTTTGTTAGATATTATCCAGTACTGGTCAGGAATCATGTGGGGTAAAGACTTCTGGTGGGAATGTAGAGGCAAGATATTTCTGGTAGGTAATTTGATAACATGTGTCAAAGCCTTTTTAAAATGTGTTGAGACCACATAGCGAGACCCCATCTCTATAAAAAATGTTAAAATTAGCCAGGTATGATGGCACACACCTGTACTCTCGAGCTACTCAGGAGGCTGTGGTGGGAGGATCACGTGAGCCTGGGATATTGAGGCTGCAGTGAGCCATGTTTGCACCACAGTGCTCCTGCATGGGAAATAGAGCGAGACCTATCTCCAAAAAAGTAAATAAAATAAAATGAAATATGTACAGAGTTCCAATTTAAAATGTCAGATTGAATGTACATGCTTGTCTCCAAAATGACCGTAGAGGAATTTTAAAACATGTAAATAAGGACAAAAAATAAAAACACCCAGATGATAAAACAGCAGATGAGCAATATCAGCAACATTTTGGACAGAGAAAACTATATGGACAAATAATAACTGATTGAGTTGTCAGCTTTCTCTGTTCTGCTCAATGCTTGCAAGGGGAGAGCCCAACCAGAAATAAGAATCTCGGAAAGGAACATGGACTGAAGATACCTCTGAAGATAGGGATGCAGGCAAACCTGAAATGAGAGGATGCTCAGTAGTCTGTGCTGAATTAAGTGCCAGATTCCCTGCCCTGTCCACTAGGAGGAGTTACTCTTCTTTCCTGGCAGATGGCTGGAAGTTTACTCCCTGGAGGGCTTGAAACAAAGATACTAAGGAGCTGGGTACGGCTGAGAGCAGAAATGGGGTGCTGGAGTGAAAACATGAGGATTAAGGAAAAGTCTACACACTGAAATATGAACCCCATTCAGTGCCAAGAACGTTGCCTCTAGTCTCATAACCTGCAGACAGACGCTTGGATTATCTCTCTGGGGAAAACTAGCAGAGAGAAAAGATCCATTGATCTACACAAGCTGACACTTGGGAATCCTTCTACCAATCGTCCAGGTCTCCACCTATTCAACTCCTTTGAGGCCCATTCATTCAACAAGCTCACTGAAACATACAGCACTTTTTAGTGACACCCTTGTAGATACAAATAGACAAGATTCAACTGATATGCGAGGAAATGCTCCAATATGAAAATAAAGAGAACAGATCAAACTGAAAGAAAGAAAAAAGCTCAGAAGAATTAGAGACAAAAACCAAACAAACAAAACAAAAAAACCCACCTCTGTCATTCATATTCTCCACGTACCCTTTCTCAAGAAGCTGCTGGGAAATGTGCACTAGCAAATGAGGATTAAGTAAAGCAAGGATGGCAAGCAACGTGCTTAAAGCCTGTAATCCCAACACTTTGGAAGGCCATGGTGGGTGGGTCACTTGAGCCCAGGAGTTCAAGAACAGCCTGAGCAATATAGTAAGACCCCATTGCTACAAAAAAAAAATTATTTTAAGTCGCTGGGCCTGGTGGCGCATGCCTGTAGTCCCAGCTACTCAGGAGGCTGAAGAGGAATGGCTTCAGTCCAGAAGATGGAGGTTGCAGTGAGCTGAGATCGTGCTGCTGCACTCCAGCCTGGGTGACAGAGTCAGACTCTGTCTAAAAAAAAAAAAAAAAAAATGGTAAGGCAAGGAAGATTAAGAAGCCACATATCTAGTACACAGGGATTCAACACAGCAAGGAGGCAAGGGAATTCCCAGGAGGACATGAAGGGAATCTCAGATGGGCGGCTGGGCAGTAGATCCAGAGAGCAGGTGGCGTGGAGTAAAACTGGAGGGCAGGAGGGTCCAGGAGCAATGTCTCCAAAACAAACAGAACCAGCAGATTGCCTGAGACCTAATCACCTATACTGAGATTTGTTTTACAGGCGCAATACACAGGATGGAATGAATTAGTGACAGATATACAAAAAGTAAGCAAATGAAGAAATGAAGTGGTTATTACTAACGCTGAGATAAATACAATGTCTAAAAGGAAGGGAAATGTAATCAACACACTAAGGAGCTCAGCTGCAGATATTTTACCTAGTCATAATAACGGAGATGTTGGATATTGATTTGAAAAAATAGACACAAAGATTGGGAAAATTGGCCATTGCATGTGTGTAAGACAAGTAAAAGCATTAACTCTTGATAGATAAAGCCCAAGCTGAACAATCAGTAAATATCACTCTAAACATGATATTTAGCAATATGCAAGTTCACACTAGAAGAAACAGTCACATTATTTGTACTTTTTTTTTTTAGAGATGAGGTTCGCTCTATCACCCAGGCTGGAATGCAGTAACCTAGTCATCATCCAGTGCAGCCTCGGCCTCCTGGGATTAAGCAATCCTCCCACCTCAGACTCCTGAGTAGCTCAGCCTATAGGTGAGCAGCACCACAGCCACCTAATTTTTAAAATTTGTTTTTGGCCAGGCACAGTGGCTCATGCCTGTAATCCCAGCATTTGGGAGGCCAAGGTGGGCGGATCACCTGAGGTCAGGAGTTCGAGACCAGCCTGGCCAACATGGAGAAACCCCATCTCAATTTATAAAAATAAAAAATATAAATTAAAAAAATATTTTTATATATGTAAGTTTCTTTAGAAGAAGAGTGTGACTATGTTGCCCAGGCTGGTCTCGAACTCCTGGCCTCAAGCAGTGCTACTGCCTCGGCTTCCCAAAGTGCTGGGGTTACAGGTGTGCAACTGTTCACAGCCAGTACTCTTTCTTCTTTCTTTCTTTCTTTCTTTCTTTCTTTCTTTCTTTCTTTCTTTCTTTCTTTCTTTCTTTCTCTTTCTTTCTTTCTTTTCTTTCTTTCTCTCTCTCTCTCTTTCTCTCTCTCTCTTTCTTTCTTTCCCTTTCTTTCTTTCCTTCTTTCTTTTTCTTTCTCTTTCTCTTTTTTTCTTTTTTGTCTTCTTTCTTTCTTTCTTCTTTCTTTCTCTCTCTCTCTCTTGCTCTTGCTCTCGCTCTCTTTCTTTCTTTTTGAGACTTGAAGTGATCCACCTGCCTCAGCCTCCCAACATGCTGCCCTTAACCTGATTATCGTTATTATTAATTCAAAGTGCATTTATAATGGTTATGTGCCAGGTAAGATGCCAGGAGGTTCAATGATTCTTGCGTTTGTAATCTGGTGAAGATGAGCACGTAAACAAATAGTGACAATTATGCATGATTAGTGCTATGTTGTATGTAAGGTCAGGATCCTATGGGGGAACAAAGAAATGCCAACGCATCCAGTCTGAGGAAGTTCAGGAATACTTTCCAGAGGAAGTGGTTTCTAAGACAAAACCCAAAGAATGACTCCAGCAGAAAGAACAGTATGTGCAAATATTCACAAGCATGTTTAGGGAATAGAGGGCATTTAGTGTGCTAAAGTTTATCATACTGCTGAGGCAGAGTGGCAAGATATGAGGCTGAAAGAGGCTGTTGAAGTTGAACACAGTGGCTCATGCCTGTAATCCCAGTACTTTGGGAGGCCAACGTGGGAAGATCACTTTAGCCCAGGAGTTCGATACCAGCCTGGCCAACATGGTGCAGGCGTGGTGGCATGCATCTGTAGTCCCAGCTACCCAAGAGGCTGAGGTGGGAGGATCGCTTGAGCCCAGGAGGCAGAGGTTGCAGTGTGCTGAGGTCATGCCATTGCACTCCAGCCTGGGCAACACAGCCAGACTCTATCTTAAAAAAAAAAAACAAAACTATTGAGATTTGGGAGCTAACTTTGTAGATTTCAAGGAACAAGAGTCTAGGTCCACTTCTCAGTCCAGATTTCATATTAACTCTTTTCCATCAGCCCATTAAAACACTGCTTCAACATTATACCAAATGAAACAAACCAGACCCAGGACAAATGTTGCATGATTCCATTTATATAAATGACCTAGAATGGTCAAATTTACATTGAGTTAGAAAATAGAATAGTGGTTGCCAGAGGCTTTGGGGGAGTGGGAAATAGAGAGTTGCTGTTTCGTGGGCACAGAGTTTCAGTGTTGCAAGAAGAAAACGTTCTGGGGATGAATAGTAGTCATAGTTACACAACAATGTGAATGTACTTAATGCCACTGAACTGTGCACGTGAAAATGGTTAAAATGGTCAATTTTATGTTACACGCATTTTAGCATGATAAAGTTTAAAAAAAATTTAAGCACTGATTCATTTAAATTTCACTTACAATGTACCCTTCCCTTAAAATCCCATAATAATTATTCTGTTTTTTTCCTTTGGTAAGATGCCTCACAGTTCCGCTGGCAGGCAGTCTCACTCATTGTGATAAATCAATGAATGCAACTTGTTGAACTATAAGTTTGTTCCTGGTGGTTTAGGCTGGTTGGTTGAGGACAGTGGTAAGCAAATACCAAAGACAATATTGCCTTAAGGGGAAATGCTGGCATCAGTGCTGCTATCTAGCAAATGAGTTTTGAGCTCAATATAGTTGGATGTTGGCTCTTAGACTTGCACATTAACTTGGGGATCCAGGAATAAGGCTAAAGTAGACTCAGGTCCATAATGACCCTGGGACCCGGTAGAAGTAAACTCAATACTTCTGGCCAAAAGCATCCACAGCGTGGGCCCCCAAGATTCCCACAGATAAACAAAATATAAGCTCACAATGAAGATTTTCAATCACTCAAGGAAAAGAGTGCCATAGTACAACAGCAGTGCGAATCAGTAGGATATTGATATTGAAATTATCAAATATAGTTTATAAAATAATAGTGTCTGAAATGTTTAAGGAAATAAGCAATGAAATAATCTAAACAAGATATTCTCAAAATATTTGCCTTCCATTCCTTGAACAAATATGTAAACACTTGCACATATAGTTTTCTTTCTGGTGGAACGTTATGCCATCCTTCATTTTACTTGTTGACTAGTTTATTGTCTGTCCTGCACGCCATGGTCCCCAGGAATGTAAATTACACAAGGGCTGGGGTTATACTGTCTGACATGTTTACTGCTATATCGCCAGCATTTAGAACAATACATAAGTATTTGTTGGCCCAAAGCACTCATTGTGGAATTCAATGTTCAACTTACCTTCAGATTTTCTTTGCTGCTCCTTCAGAAAATAAGGAGCATCTTTTCTGGTTACAGACTTGGAAATGTTTGGTTCTAAATAAGATCTTAGTGGCAAAAAGCCCAAGTTCACATCGCAGAGCTCCTCTTTGTGCAGAAGTAAGGGCCGCATGGTCAGCGTCTTTGTCCTGGGGTCCACCGTCTCGATTTCATTTGGATGAGAAACTGCATGTGCTTGTGCCCATTCTTGACTAAATGGGGTTATCTGACTAAAGGGGGAGGGAAATGCTTGATTTAAAACTCAGTTGCCACGTTTTCTGAATCTCCAGTCCTCAGTCCAGCCTGACATCACTAGAAAGTTTGAAGAACTGTTTCCAAATGATGCTGCTGAATGGAAAGGCTGCATCCTGAAAGAGTAGGACATCTCCACCCCTAACTCCTCCCAGCCTCTCAACCCTCTGTACCATCGCCTGAAAGGATGAAGTTTCAGCCCATTCTCGTTTTCCCAAATGCCACTTCCTTGCGCAGAGAAATCAGAGACCAAGGGCAGCCATGGGGGACACACCCTTTTATCTCCACAGGCACTGACTAGCCCAGTGCGTCTCAAACTGTCTTTGATGAAGAACCAGCATTGAAACTCTCCAATCATTGTGAATGGATATGTTTGTAAAATATAAGTGAACTGCCATAAAAACGGAAGAAAAGTAAAAGACATGAAGAAATTAAGGCTCATTTTTTTTCACTACCCGTTCAGTGAACATAAGTTATTTGCCAAATTGCTCTGCAACTTTTTAAATAGTCATCCTTACAGCCTGTGCTGACCTTATCCTGAACTGGTAACAGGATCACAGAACCACATTCTAAGTAACTCTGCCTTACAGCAGGGTCAGCAAACTACTGCCTGGGGGCCAAATCTGGCCTTCAGCCTTTTTTCTATAGCTTTAATTGAATCACAGTCACACTCATTTGTTTATATCTAGTCTGTGGCTGCATTCAAATGACAGTTGCTGAGTTGAATCATTGAAACAGAAACCCTATGGCCCACACAGCCAAAGTGTTTATGATCTGGCCTCTGCCACATACTATTTATTGTGACCTCTACTTTTAAGCATTATTATAGATTGAATTACTAATAATTTAGGTTGCCACATGAGTATCATTGCTTCATACTTCATTTCAAATCTGACTTCAAAGAATATTCCTTACTTGTTTTCTTTTAAGTCTTCTTGGCTCATTTCTTGGGGAGGACTGACATCTCCTGGAAAAGTCACAGTGGTCTCAACACCTACAGAAACATATGACAGTAGTAGAAGGAAGAAAGTAATGAATTCTAGCGGAAAGCGGGAGACATACTTTATTTGGCTAACTTCTTATTAATGATTACAAAATGACGGTAACCAGAGGCTGAGGTTTAGTCATCTTTGTATCTTTCCTGTTCAGGATATGATAGATCCTAAATAAATGCTTGCTTAAAGAGCAAAAAAACCATTTAATAATATTTTAGAGATGTAAAATAAAGTTTTATAATGAACTATATTGTCCCCAGGATGGAGAAGACAGGGCCACCTTCTATAAAGTGTAATGACACCTATCTCACAGCACTACTGGGAGGATTAAATGTGATAATTTATGTAACTCCAAAGAAGTCTGCTCGTATTTGTAATTTTGGTCATCTCCTGTCTTATTCCATGAAATAATTCCCAGAATAACCCTTAAGACAGAAAGTTCCAACTTGTAGAATAGACGTTTGCTCACAACATAACATGTTAAGCAAATGTATGTAAAAAACTAGTGAGAAGTACTCTAATACTGCCTGTTCTTTAAGGTGTGTTCATTCATTCCTTTTTTCCATTCAACAAACTTTTATTAAGCATATGCCAAGCCCAGCACTTTGTGCTGAAAACACAGAAATAAACAAGATGCAGCTGAAGCCCCAGTAGAGCTGATGAGAAAATAAAGAACGCAGTGATTGCACTGCGATAGAAGCAAGTGGTGTTGTGGGAGCAGAGAGGCTTGTCATTCCAGGAGGACACAATGCTTGTCCCGGTATTCATTTCTATCCATTTATCTGTCAGAGCCATTTATTCACTCAATCTGTATGTGCCTGGAGAAGCAATGGCTGTCTGAGCTCCACTAACTAAATGCCAGGGAAGGAGGATCGCAGGGACGATAAGGTTAGGGTGTGAATCAGACATCCCTTCTCTGCCACTTCCTCGGTGACCTTGGGGAAGTTGCTTAATATCTATCACGATTATCTAAATTAGTAGATTTTTATTATTTTAAAGGACTTTGGATATATTTGTGTGATACAAGGGAACTACCATAGTGAGAGCGTTTTTATTGTTCAGTTTTTATATTCGTGCCATTTAATGAGATGAGTGCATTAAAAAAAACAGTAAAAAATTCCAAAAGGAAAAGTTTTGTTTACAATCAGGTAAATGATAATAGTGTTTACTATCATTGTCATCAAATATTATATTTTCTGCTACCACAAAACTGTAGCTAGCTTTGGTTTTCTTAATGTTTCTCAAATAAGACAACTTGATTGCATGTTTTCTAATACTATACAATAGCAAAGAACACTTGTCTAAAAATGAAATTTTCTTGGAATAGTCCCTTGTTTTTTAAGTTTTCAAAGAGCCTGTCACCACACTATGTAGCACAAAATGAGAGACTTAGAATTATTGACCTGGAAGAAACTTACAGGTCATCTAATCCAAGCCTTTCATTTTAGAGATGAAAAACTGAGCAATGAGTTCCCATGACATGCTCAAGGTCATTCTCCTACTTGAAAGGAAGATAGATATCTTTCATAACATTTTTGTAGTCATCCTTGAGTGCAAAAACCTAGCTGATATGTCAGAGTGAGAAAAACATACAGCATACATTCCTAATAACTAAACTGTCAGCGAAAAGAATGTTCTGGCACGAAGACTAGATGCATTTAGTTCTTTGCTGCGGAAGTTAGAAAACTGAGTGTATTTACATAAACCATATCTAAGAACAACTGTACCTTTGCAGTTGTTAAGAATTAATAAACCCAGAATGTTTTTGAACAAACTTAATGTGTTTAAAAGTCTTTTCCTCAGCTGACTTTTTTTTCAAACCAAGGAACAAAGCTGTAATAAGCACATGTAAAAAAATACCTGCCTCTTTAGATATTGTTAAGAGCAAATAGCCACCATCCTAATTGTTAGTCCAAAATGGAAAAAAAAAAAAAAAGATTACAGCATGTACTGATTCTGAAATCCTCTAGAAGCCTACAAATGTTCTCTTTGTTCTGTCTCTTGAATACTGTGAGTTGCTGAGGGAGCTGTGGATAAGGCCTCTCAAGCTGTCCAGTAGGCCAGGGAAGAGGATGTGTTATCACAGGTGAAAACAAAACACTTGCTCTTAGCTGAGTGCACTTTTCACATACTGAGTGTAAATTAACCTGATCAGAAAATATTACCATAGAGAGAAATTAAAAGGCAGCATTTTATCATAGCCACAAATATATTTTCTTTACAGAAGAGTTGAAAATGACATTTGTAACCAGTCAGAAAATGATCATTAATTTGTTGTTAGTGTCAAAGCCATTATTAAAATAAATAACTGATTTCAATAAAGAAAAATTATTTTCTCCAGAAAAGCCTTACTTTCCTATTCTCCTTATTTTATTTTATTTGTTAAATTTTCGTGGGTACAGGATAGGTGTATATATTAATAGGGTCCTTGTTCTGTTTAGATGGATGTTCGTATCTGTCTAGAATGTGAGCATGGAGGTTCAAAATATTTTGATGCCATCTTCATGTTTTGATGATTTCCTAAATTGTGAAGCTCAAACAGACTTAAAAAAAAAAAAATTTCCAGCCTCCTGTGCTGCTAGATTCAGAAAGCTTACTTGAGAGACTGATGCATGTGAGTTACATGAAAAAAGATAAGGTGCAGGCATTATGTGTTGCTGATGTGCTGATGTGATTATCAGCAGAGGGAGGGGATTCTTTTTTTTTTTCTCTTTTCCTTTTTCTATTTTTTTGAGACGGAGTTTCTCTCTAGTTGCCCAGGCTGGAGTGCAATGGTGTGATATCGGCTCATTGCAACCTCTGCCTCCCAGGTTCAAGTGAGTCTCCTGCCTCAGCCTACTGAGCAACTGGGATTACAGGCATGTGCCACCATGCCTGGCTAATTTTTGTACTTTTAGTAGAAACTGGGTTTCACTATACTGGCGAGGCTGGTCTTGAACTCCTGACCTTGTGATCCACCCGCTTTGGACTCCCAAAGTGCTGGGATTACAGGCATGAGCCACCGCACCCAGCCACGAAGGGGTTCATACATTGATGATAGGAGCAGCTCTCTGGTTATGGCAGAGGTGGCATGATTTGAGGGTCAGTAGCAGCCAGTTTTGAGATGTAGTTATGGGAATTCTTTCTGACAGTCCAACCTGGAGCCTTCCTGTTTTGGACTGGATGTTTTGAATGTCTGTGTCCCCTGCCGCAAATTCGTATGCTGAAGCCCTAACTCCCAAGTGTGGCTTATTTGGAGATGGGACCTCTAAGGAAGAAATAAAGGTTTCTTTTGAAGGTGTTAAGGGTAGGACCTTGATCCAGTTGGATTTGTGTCCTTCTAAGAAGAGTGTTCTGCCTGTGTGTGCACAGAGGAAAGTCCACATGGGAACAGAGCAGCCATCTGCCACCAGGAGGACAGCCTTATCAGAAACCCATCCCTACTAGAACCTTGATCTTGGACTTCCCATTCTTAAGAACTGTGAGAAAATAAATGGCTGCTATTTAAGACCCCTCAGTCTATGGTATTTTGTTTTGGCAGCATGAGTAGACTAGGAAAGTTCCTCTCCTCTGGTTGTTCAATGGTATGTGAACTTCCTAATACCTTTCAAAATTCCCTTTCTTTTAAACCCAACCAAGACTAGATTCTCGTATACCTGCAACTACAAATCTTGATGAATGTATACTGTAGTAAAATTTTTTAAGCTCATTAATTTTAGGGAATAGGTTCTCTTGTTCACTCATGAAAAATGTGAATTTATAGGCTCAACTTCTAATCTGTAATATTTGTGTCTGTTAATTTTAAACAAATATTTTTCTTTATGTGAGTATGGGAGAAAGTAGTAATCCTGACATGTTTGATAATTAGGATAATTATGAAAGATCATTCCAAATCTTATGGAAATTTGTGTTTCAAATTGCAGCAGTTTGCTTTTGAGACATATGGCAATCTCTTAATATAACCACTGAAGGAGGGGTAGATTGTAAAGATCTTGTATACACATAAATATGTCAGACGTTTCAAAATATCAAAATAAATTTAGAAAAAAAGATTCATGTCTGTTATGTGTTGGGAAAATAGTGGGGTTTTTTGTTTGTTTATTTGTTTTTTTGAGACACAGTCTCACTCTGTCACCCAGGCTGGAGTGCAATGGTGTGATCTCGACTCACTGCAACCTCCACCTCCTGGGTTCAAACGATTCCCCGTGTAGCTGGGATGACAGGTGTGTGCCACCATGCCCGGCTAATTTTGTATTTTTAGTAGAGACAGGGTTTTACCATGTTGGTCAGGCTGGTCTTGAACTCCTGACCTCAGGTGATCTGCCTGCCTCGGTCTCCCAAAGTGCTGGGACAAGAGTGAGCCACGGCACCTGGCTCATTTAAAGATATTTAAACCAATATTTAAAATGAATATAATGCATACTAATATTCACAGCACTTTTATTTCAGAATTTGTGACTGGAAAGAGTAGCTAGCTCAACTGAAATCTCTATCAACTGTGAGATGAAATTTTATTAGGAAGAGAATTGCTTCTTCCAAATTTGTAACTCAAGTTATTTAAAGCTTAAAACTGAAAGAACTTAGTGGAGATGCCTCATAAGTGTTATGGCTCCCATATAAAAACTGAAAGTAGACCGGGCACGGTGGCTTCTACCTGTAATCCCACCAGTTTGGGAGGCTGAGGCAGGCAGATCACCTGAGGTCAGGAGTTAGAGGCCAGCCCGACCAACGTGGTGAAACCCCCTCTCTACTAAAAATACAAAAAAATTAGCCAGGCGTGGTGGAGGGCGCCTGTAATCCCAGCTTCTCGGGAGGCTGAGGCAGGAGAATTGCTTGAACTCGGGAGGCAGAGGTTTCCGTGAGCCGAGAACACGCCATTGCACTCCAGCCGGGGGGGCCAGAGTGAAACCCCGTCAGAAAAAACAAAAAAACAAAAAACTGAAAATATTGCAAATCAAGTTTAAAAGAATGACTCACATCTCAAATGCTGAGTTATCTCCAGATTGAGCAGAATAAATGAAATATTTAAACTCCTGGAAGGCGCTTGGGACACCATTAGTCTTCTGAGAGCTTGGCTTTGAAGTCTATGACAAAGGACTGCAAGGACCGTTCTGAAGGGTTTTGGGGGTTTCTTTCGTTAGCTCTTTCAGGCTTAATGCTGTTTATAATTTTTTTTTTTTTTTGAGACGAAGTTTCACTCTGGTTGCGCAGGCTGGAGTGCAATGGCGTGTCTTGGCTCACTGCAACCTCTGCCTCCCGGGTTCAAGCGATTCTCCTGCCTCAGCCTTCCGAGTAGCTGGGATTACAGGTGCGCACCACCACGCCCAGCTAATTTTTGTATTTTTAGCACAGGCGGGGTTTCTCCATGTTGGTCAGGCTGGTCTCGAACTCCCGACCTCAGGTGATCCGGTCCCGTTGGCCTCCCAAAGTGCTGGGATTACAGATGTGAGTCACCGCACCCGGCAATGGTGTTCATAATTTTAACGGTTACTAAATTACTCTCTGCCCTCAGACTAGGGAGGGAAGATTCCCAGTGGGCGTGAGAAAGGCAGGCGGTTGCCCAGGAGAGGGCAGCATCGCACCAGCGCCCGGAGGAGACGCTGCTGGGGAGAACTGCAGCCGGCGGGGAGCTGCGAAGGGCTGAGAAATGCGCATAGAAGAGAGCGGCTTCCCTGGCATGTTAGAAATGGAATCCAGAAAATTGCCCAGGAGAAATTGCGGCAGTTCAAATAAACGTTTACATTAAGAAGGTTATGGGTGAATAGACGGACAAATGGCATAGCCTTGGCAACTGGGTTCTGAGGCGAGAATCTGCAAATACCTTGTGGTCTGTTAAGTGCAAGGGCACTTCCGGTGTGACAGGATAACATGCTTAAAATGGGTGGTGTTCTGGAAGATTCCAGACTTATGACTTTGTAAGTAAAAGACCGAGACTTGCGGGGCTTTCATGCCTTGTTCACTCCCCCACCTTCCCCTAAGGGACAACAGCTGATGGATTCATGTGTGGCCCTGGAAGGAAACCCATCACTGGAGCTGCTGGAAGATTCTGAGAGGAAGGAAATGGGGAACGGGCGTTATCAGACAAAAAGGAAGGGACAGAGAATGGCTTGGCTGAGCTGGAGTGAGGTGGAATAAAAGAGCCAGAGAGCATTGCCTTTTCTGGTAGGGCAAATTGCCTAGACCCACTGATTCAGATATAGACCAAAAGGTCTATATGAGTGGTTTTTCTTTTCCTTTGGGCTTTTTCTGTGTTTTCAAACTTTTTTTTTTTTTTAACTTTTCTAGCAGGAATTAAGCTTAGGGGTACAAATGTAGGTTTGTTCCATAGGTAAATGTATGTCATGGGGTTTGTTGTACAGATTATTTAATCACCCAGGTATTAAGCCTAGTACCCATTAGTTATTTTTCCTGATCCTCTCCCTCCTCCCACCCTCTACCCTCTGATAGGCCCCATTGTGTGTTGTTCAAACTTCTACAATGAGCACTTCTGAAATTGGAGGGATGTCCATATGATAATATTATGTTGTAAACACATGAAGAAGTGAAGCCCGATACCTTCTGTCCTGGGTTGCCAGTCCTGTCTACCATCACTGGGGTCTTGTTCGCTAACCAGTGTAGAATGACTGCAGTCACTGTCTTGGCCAAACTCCTGCAATATCATAAAATTCAAAACTCAGTTATTAGTTATTTGATGTTCCAGTTTGTTGGCAGAGTGAATGTTGATTTTTCTGGGCGAAAATTCACACCATGGATTCCTTTTAAATTGGATAAAGTATTTAGGACTAAAATAATAGGAAAGTATCTGCCCCTGGAGCACTAGGCTTAGACAGTCGTGGATGTGATTAACTGCATAATCAAAAATGAAGAGCAAAGCTGAAATCACATCGGCACATAGAAATTCAGTATTTTATACTTTATCATCTCAGCACCCAGGCTGCTAAGCTGCCATAAATTCCATCTGGGTGGGAGACTGGAAAGAATCCTTCGGCCACAGTCAGAGTGAACAACCCCAAAGGAACGTGATCTTTTCCATAATGCCTCCCTGGGGCATCATTTACAAATGGTGAGAATGGAAATCCCTGCCCCTTGTGGAAGCTACAGATATAACCCTAGACTGAAAGGAGGCAGCAAAGCTGATTAAAGTCTTCCCTATGACGGCTTTCTCATCTAAATCATGGTGAACAACCTCTTAAACTTCCTTTTTACTCTCTAGAAAATAATCATTATAGTTGAAAACCAACTTGATTTACAAAAAGTACTCCAAACATTTTAAAGAAGAAATGTTTTCTTAGTATAATTCATTGTTTTTGATGATAGGTTCCTTCATTAGACGTTATGGCTGATGATTTTGGGCTTTTAAATTTCGAGAACCATGAAAGACCCAAGTAGTAGTTAATACATCCCATCACAACCCTAATGTTACAATTAGCTGTCTGGCTTCTATGATCTAGGTGGATGACCCATTTAAGGGGACTGTTGGATAAGAAGTCTTTGCCCTAAATGCATAAGCCTGCCATCTGAAATGTCAGAGAAGTGACAAGTCACAAAAATTCTCTGATAGCTCATTTATTAATTCCCAAGAGAACTTGGAAGTTTCTTGCTTTTCTCTCTTTGTTCATGTTAATTGTCATAGCAAATAATACAGATTGGCCAGGCACAGTGGCTAACTCCTGTAATCCAGCACTTTGGGAGGCTGAGGCAGGTGGGTCACTTGAACTCAGGAGTTCGAGACCAGCCTGAGCAACATGGAGAAACCCTGTCTCTACTAAAAATAAAAAAAATTAGCGGGACGTGATGGCACACACCTGTTGTCTCAGCCACTTGGAGGGCCGAGGCAGAAGGATGGCTTGAACCTGGGAGGTCGAGGCTATGGTGACCTAGGATCATGTCACTGCATTCCAGCCTGGGTGACAGAGTGACACCCTGTCAAAAGAAAGAGAGAAAGAGAGGAAAGGCAGGAAAGGAAGAAAGAGAAAGAAAGAAAAGAAAAAAAGAAAAAGGAAATAAAAGTAAAACTTGGCCAGGCCTGGTGGGTCACACATGTAATCCCAGCATTTTGGGAAGCCGAGATGGGTGGATTGCTTGAGGCCAGCCTGGACAACATGGTGAAACCTCATCTCTACAAAAAAATACAAAAATTAGCCCGGCATGGTGGCACGTGCCTTGTAGTCCTAGCTACTCAGGAGGCTGAGGTGCAAGGATCATTTGAGCCATAGGAGGTTGAGGCTGCAGTGAGCTGTGATTGTGCCATTGCACTCCAGCCTGGGCAACTGAGTGAGACCGTGTCTCAAAAAAAAACCGAAAAAAACCAAAAAACAGAAGTAAAGCCCTCCATTTGTACAATCATTAAAAATATTTTAGATATTCGATCGTAATAACTTAGTTGTTATACCTTACTTTTATTCAGCAGTTCATACTTAAAAATTGTTTTTTAATTTTTAACTTTTATGGGTACATAGGTATATATATTTATGGGTTACAGGAAACATTTTGAAAATAGGCATGCAATGTGTAAAAATTACATCAAGGTAAATGGGGTATTCCTGACATCAAGCATTTATCCTTTGTGTTACAAACGAGTCAATTAAGCTCTTTTAGTTATTTTTAAATGTATAATTAAATACTACTGACTATAGCCACCCTGTTGTGCTATCAAATACTAGGTGTCATTCTTTCTTTCTTTTCCTTTTTTTTCTTTTTGTTCGATCATTGGGTTGGTTATTCATTCTTTCTAGCTATTTTTTTTGTATCCATTAACCAACCCACTTCCTCCCTACTCCTTACTACCCTTGTTAATACTTTCTAAAACATTTTCTATCTCCTGGCAAAAGTTGGGTGCCCAATTTCAGACCATCCTGGTTGTCAATGGCAGATGAGTTCACTTTGCTCCAGGCTGTTGTCAATTTCACTGCTTATATTTCTCTGTATTTCAAAAATTCTACCATTGTCTGGCAAATTCCTCCTCCTTCCTAGAAAAATCACAAAGGGGGATTTACTCCTCTTAGAACATATGAAAATACAGAAACATATTTCTGAAAAGCAACATTTTAAAATATAACCTGACAACCAAAAAGCAAACACTATTAAGATAGAAATCATATTTTATTTGTCTTTCTCCTAAGTATTTAAAAATATAGTTGCATCATATAATTTTTTATCTGACTTCTCCACTTAAACATAAATTCATAAGTAATCTACTAAGTAAGTGTCATTTTAGTGGAATTTAAAATTTATTTCCTTCAACAAATATCTGAGGATCATAATAAAAATTTTTGTTTTGAGATGGAGTCTTGCTCTGTCACCCAGGCTGGAGTGCAGTGGTGTAATCTCAGCTCACTGCAACCTCCACCTCCCGAGTTCAAGTGATTCTCCTGCCTCAGCCTCCCAAGTAGCTGGGACTATAGGTATGCTCCACCACACTCAGCTAATTTTTGTATTTTTGGTAGAGATGAGGTTTCATCGTGCTGGCCAGGCTGGTCTCAAACTCCTGACTTTGTGATCCACCCGCCTTGGCCTCCCAAAGTGCTGGAATTACAGGTGTGAGCCATTGCGCCTGGCCAATAGTACTTTAATAAGCCCCATTAGTCTTACAATGTAAGTCCCATGAGGTTTAGTAGGTCGTTTTAAATTCATTACTATGCATAGTGCTATTAAATATTTGCAACTAATACCCCAATTTTGCATTATTTCTTTAGAGTAGATCCCTAGAGATGGAATGATTGATCCAAAGACTATGAAACAGTTGGTTTTTTGTATACACATTGCCTTAAAAGTAGTTTATCTCTATAATCTAGCAGCAGTGAATGAGTGTGCTACATCATATCTTCTCCCTTATTAGCATCACTTTTTATTATTATTTTCCCTTCTTTTCA